GGACTCGACGGCACATAACAACAACAACAAACACCCACTGAAGGGTTGGAGACAGCTTGATGGCAATGAGAGGTGAAGTAAAAATTGAAAACATTCTAGAATTTTATTTACCTATCTATCACACTAAACTCTAGGGAAGGTGGAGGGCCAGAAAAAGATAAGAAGACCCTCAATAAGATGAACTGACATGTTGATTGTAACAACAGCCTGTGCGTATCACAGATGGTAAGGATGACATTAAATTAGGGCGTCAGATTTATTGTTTACAGGGTTGCTATGAGTAGTAGTTGACTTGATGGCACCTAACAACAACATCACACTAAATAGGATCAGCATCTTGTTGACCCTTTCTCCCAATATCTTAATGAGCCAGAGTGTTCTGTCTTTAAGCAGTTGCATGGATTTAATTTTCTGGATGTTCTGGTTCTCTATTACTGCATGCTTTAGTTGTTTCCAAACTCTAGCCATCATAAACAATGCCAGAATACATATCTTGCATAGCTATCACTTCAGATCTGTGCAAATATATCTCTAAGTCTGCACTACAGTGTCATAGTTCCCCATTTATGAGCTATGCTAGTTTACACTGCTATTAGCAATGTATAAGAGCTATTGTTTTCTCACAGTCTTGCCAAATTATTTTAAAACCTGATGCTGTTGCCAATCTTAAAAGAAATAATGAGGAGAGTGGTTCTGCACTGTCAAATAAGTTTGTGGAACTACAATCTATATTCATTAGTTAGATACTATCTAGAGTATCTTCTTACTTATCTGGTTTAGGAAAACAAAAATCAAAAAAAAGAAAGCACAATGCTGTATAGTGTGGCACATTAATGGCCATCAGAGTTCTATGGCTAGACAAGAAATGTTTCAGGAAGAGATTGTAAGGTTTTAGTCTATAGGGAACTGCACTGCTAACCCAAAGGCCACACCTCTTTGGCAGTTCAAATTCATCAGTGGCTCCATGGGAAAGAGATGGACAATCTCCTCCTGTGCAATTTATAACCTCAGAAACGCAATGGAGAATCAGCTCTTAATTAGGTCTGACTAGATGACAATGATAAATATATAGATGAACAGAAGGGATGAAGCCAGCATATGTTCTTTAAAAGTATTTCATTTCACTTTCATTACATAAGAGAAATAAACCTTTATGCATACCTAATTTCAGTTTTTCTTACTTCAGATGTCTCTGTCAACACCATAATTGGAATGGCTAAGTTAAAGAAACAATTTTTATAAGCTTCATATGGATAGCCACCAGCTACTTTGAGCATCTCTAATGCAACCTAGATTTAAAAGAGTAAAAAACCAATCATTCATAATGTAAATATCTTCTTCAGTATGTCTCTCAACATTTAGCATATTTATATTTTCAATATGTTCTATATTTGATGAAAAAGTTATTCAGAAAAACATATGACTAAGTAATTCCCTACTTAGGAAGCAAATGCCATGAAATACAACAGTCAAAACCCATTTAACGTTAAAGTACACACAGCTCTATAAAGCTACTAAGAATGATAAACAGTACAAAGTAGTATAGGACAATAACTGAAGATCACACTAAAGACTCTAAATCATCAAGAAAAAATGATCATGAGAACAGACCAACTAGAACAGAGATAAGGAGACTGTAGATAAAATACCATGAATGTACTCAATATTGTGAACATGTATAGAAATATGAGTATTATTTTTAAAAAATTAAAATCCCTCATTAATTCATAAGAAAATCCTAATTATCAAAAGAAAGTACTTATTTTTTTTCTAAAAAAAAAAAAAAAAAAAAAAAAACAGGCAAAGAACTAAATACCAATGTAATCACAGAACAAACATTAAAGTAGTTCATGGATTGGTTCCTGTGAGAAAAATTCATAATCTATTTACTTAGAGCATTTTTAATATTAAAATGTTTACATACCTTTAAAATCTCAAAACATGGATTACTACAATTTCTTTCAAGTGTTGAAATTATGATCAATATTTCTCTCTTTTTCTCTAAAATCTGAGGGACTGGTGATTATTGTGGTGACAGTATGAACAGTAAGGAAAGGTAATGAAAAAGCAGCACTGTAATTCAAAGGATAATTAACTCACCAAGCCAGACACTGCAGCAGTAGATGTTGCTATAGCAGGTATAATTTTACCAGCTATACGCTTTGTCTTCAAACGATTAGCTGGCTCAATACTATACATCCTGGCACGTAGATTGGATGCAGCTGTGATGAAATCTATGTGCCCATTACGATCATCATCTTTTTCAAATGAAAGTACTGCCATCTGAAGATCACCTGAAAAGCAAAACAAAGTTTCTTAACAAGTGGTAAGAGTAGTACTACTCTGCAAGTCTATTTTGGTTAATATTTTTAAATTAAGAATTAAATTGGTTAATTTAAGTAACGGGAAGGTCAGACAACTGAATTGAAAACACTGTAAAATGATGGTTATAGCAATATTAAACGAGAGACGGTTCTACATAAAAATTCTTGCTCTTTTTCAGTGATGATATGTAAAAATAAAAAGCCATGTACAATATTTGCTATTAAGTAATTTATAGCATAACTAAGTCAACACTGTGCACTGTTTACAAGCTGATCCTATACTATTCTGAAACATTTTCCCTTTGATAACTAAGAATAGGTTGAGTTGGTCACTGTATCTTTCTGAAATCTTTTCTATAAATTTGTAAAGATGAGAAGCCTGATCTGTGATGAAATGGTAATATAAGAAAGGGTAGTAAGCTTTCTCTAGAACTAAAATTATAAACTGTTTTCATTGTAAATTACATATTTTGAATATTTTAAATCATTGATTTCTGACACTTTACTGGTATATGTATAAAGTCATAAAAGTTTGGAAATTACTATTGACAGAACACAATAATGATTAAGAGGAACTTAAAAACAGAAGTGTTAAAAACACTCAAGTTCCATGTCCTTATGCTTTGAAATTTAAGACCATTTAAGAAAAGGTACAAGTGGTTGGTTCAACTTGAAGTCTCAATTAATAATTATGGGTGACTACAAATCTAAGATTTATACTTTTTTTTTCCTATAATTATATTTTATTAATTTTCATAAACATTTA